CAGAGAGGTGAAAGTGGTGGGTGGCTGGGTGGATGGCTATGAGAGGATGGAGGTATGGAAATAGAAAAAAGGAGAGGGAAGGGACTAAGAGCTCAGTGTTTCTCTGTAGCTGTATTCAGAGCAGTATGGCACCACTGCAGCATTTCACTGGCTTGGCCGTCCCAGAAACAGATCCTCCACTCCCTCCCTCTCTCCGCCTCTCATCTCACCTCCCTCCTTTGCCTCCTGTCATCTCTCCTCCCCTAGCTCCTGTCATCCCCCCACCTGCTCCCCTGACCGCTCATCCCTTCTTTCCTCCTGTACCCATCCTGTCTTTCCTTTCCTTTAACTTCTCTTCCGCTGACCCACATCCTCCACTCCTGATCCTAAATGTTCTCTTCTTCTCTCTTTAGTGCAACATTCTCTCTTGCTTTGCCTTCCTTCTTTACACACATCCAAGGTCACCCTGTCCAGTGGCAGGTGTGTGAGCATGTGCTCACATGTGACTGTGTGGCAGTGTGCATATGCAAAGATGGATGTGTTGATTTATCACTGTATATGTGTATGCATCTCATTCTGCCTCTTTTGCCGTGTGCATATATCATGGATTTACTAAGAATTCATCTACATATTTGCCTACACATACCTTGCTGTGTAAAGGCAGAGGATGTCTCTCACTATGTATCAGTGCAACCCACACATACTCGAACTTGGAAATGACATTAAATTCCAAACGATGTATCATCTGACAACATGTGGGTGTGTGCAAGCTGGGGAGGTCAAGGATCCATCGCGTCTGTTTGGATAGTTCTGAAAAAAAGGAGAAAAAACAGGAAATAAAATCTCGAAAGTGGTAAGGAGCATGCATAATACACATCATCAGTGTTTTATTTATGTTTATTCATCTTTTATTTTTTTCTTGGGTCAAACATCAAATGTGTTTGCATTTTTTGTTTGTTTGTTTTTTATAAGACTGAATGGTGTAATTAACACCAATGATCATTATCATTGTGTGATAATTAAATATTAATCTGTGAAAATGTGTCAGACTCTAGAAAATGGAATTCTTTAATGTAGTGAAGATAAAATCATGTATCAGCAGACTTAATAGTGTTTTTGCTTACATTTAAATGTGCAGAATGTTGCCTTCCTCAACCTTATATCAGTTTTCCCGAGCAATAACAACAGTTTAAATAATCAAAATCAAAGTAAAGAAGAACAAATACACAGACATTTGAAGATGTTCTTAAACATGTCAACATGTTGTGGTGTTTTGTCTGTGAATATTCACTTGCAGCCAAAGAGTACAGTGGGCGGGATGAGTCTGTTATGACTGTAGCTTATTTTGTGTATGACTAATCTGATTCATTTATAATTTTCTTCAGGATGTTAGATGTGATTGTGGGGTACACAAGGAGTGCTAGCAATTTACAGATGACGAACAGTTCCATTTGCAAGGCTGCAGTGCCGCAAAAAAGTAGTCTCGCTCTTTCAGCTTAATGTTATGATGGCAGGTAAAGGCCAGTAGACTTGGCATGAGGCAGAGGCAAAATTTGTTGCTTGCTTACGTTTTACTTACATCACTAAGTGAAGTGGGAAATTATACTGGGTGTAGAAATTGTTATGAGAAATGGCCCTGTGTGGCTCTGACGTTAGTGACAATATTATTAATGTGTTTGTTGATTGGTAGGGAAGACATGAATCTTGTGAATGAGGCCAGGCTGTACATTTCAACTACAACTTGTCGCAGTGGTCCTTCGCTGAGTTGGGTTGAAGGCCGGGCTTAGATTATTGAAAGGTATGCTATGGTCAGGTAATGCCTTGGTGCATCCATGTTTTGTAACATGGTGTTAAGAAGACCCTTTATACATTGCAAGCAAACAATCAGGCATAAACACAATCCTATGATAGGCTCCACCCTTTCTGTAGTTGACTGTCAGTATTGCTACACTCAAATAAAGTCCAATAACACCACAATTCAATTAGAGGGAATTAGAATAAATATTTTTATTAAACCATGACATTAACACATTTAACCACAATACACACTCAAAATTATGCAAAGTCATTTTCTGCAACACTTTATTTAACAGAATTCTTTTACATTTTAACACACATATTTACTCACTTTGCTCACCTGAATATTTTTTTTATATCAATAGGTAGTTTGTTCCAAACTTTTATGGCAAACAAAAGAAAACAAAATCACAAACTCGAGGGTTAAAACTTTATTTTGCAATGTTATGATCGCCTATTTTTTACAGATGAGACACCACTGTGCATCACTCTGTTTGAGTCAGAACACATGATGTGTCGCACATGAACAAGTATCAAATAGCCTAGTATGTTCATTAATCAACTGTGATAAATCAAATATACATATAAAATATTGCAAGTTTTAAACTATTTGATTTACTAACTAATTTACTGTTAAATCTCCAAAAATATATATTTCTTGTTGCATAAAGAAAAGCTAATTAATTAATAAACATTATACAAATGTATGTCAGGTACAGATTTTTGTCTTCCGTAATAATAAAACTATGAAAGCTAAAGTGCAGTAAATGAAGGCTTCTTTTTTGGAAACAGCTGTATTGGTTGAACTTTAATGAGGAGGCCTGCAGATATAAGTGATATGTCAAGCAAATCTAAAGGAGACACAGGTCACACACATATGGAAGCGCTGCATAATTATTGTATGCCCATAAACCTATTTTTGTTTGACATTTTAAATGGGTCCATTTTGCACAAAGATCATGTTCTCACTTCTTTCTGGCATTTTGCACGCAAGTATCTGGGGGGTCCTTCTGACCTTTTCTAGCCAAAGCCACCATCAGTAAGCTTGGTGGAGTTTTGTCTTTGTCAGGCAACAAACAGGCAATATGGGTTTTGTCCAAATTTGTACGAGAAAAAGTCTTGTTCAAATTGAAGATCTTGCTTAGGAACCATTCCAATAGATCACCTAAAACTTTGAATCAAAATCTTGAGATGATCTAAAAATCGAAAAAAGTGCTAATACCAAAAGCTTGTCAGTCGTTGCTATCTTCAAGTGAATTGCTACCATGTGAACTGTGGACACTATGCTCGCACATACTGATTTTATTGGGGGATAAAAACCTGAAAACTCTTTACAAAAAATTCCACTGTAGTGATATTTTGATGACAAACTCAACACTGCTGCTGTGAAACTCAAGTATAGGGAAGAGAGCCACTGGAAGCAAAATGCGATTGCCAACACAGATATAAAGTTGAACCATGAAATGAGAGAAGCATGAAAGTGGAGACATGAGCAAATGATGTAGTGAAGTATGTGGTATGGGTGAAACACCCACCCCGTGACTGACTCGGAGACCTTCTTGAGCAAAGGCTGACTCAGCCGTTCTGTGCTGGGCGCATGTGTGTGTGTGCATCTATGTGGCAGCAGACATCACCCAGTACCCCTCACCCCCACTCGCTATCCCCTCCTTCTCTCGCTCGCTCTCTCTTCACCTCTACCTCTGCAGTACCTCATTTCTCCCTGTGCCGGCACGGGAAACACGCATACTTTCTGCTTTTCTGCCTGCTGGCTCTCCTCCAGCATCCTTCTGTGCCTCTTGTGTGTTCTCCTCCCCCTCCAGCCTATGTCTCCCCCCCACCCATGGGGTTTGTTGGCCAGCCTGGTTACCTGACTATTCCTGCTGCTGTTAAAGGAGTGGAGCGGTCTGACACAACGCTGCTACCCTGGTGCCGCTCTGCCTCGCTACTCCTCTATGCCTTTCGCCTCACACTCTGCTTTGCTGGATAATTACCACTGTGTCTGCCAGAGACAGCGACAGAGGACAGGAGAGGAGGGAGGCAAAGAAACAGAGAGGCTGCACTCTTTGTTCAACTGCTGCATTCTTCAGTCTTTCCTTTCCTCTGCTTCCCCGGGCTGCAGGAGAGCAGTGCAAGGAACAACTTGATGTGAGAAAGCTCCCTAAAGGAATTTTATCCTTCTCTCTTTTGCGCTTCCTCATTCTGTTCATTCCTGGGACAGAGTGCAGAGGAGGAGAGAAGAGGGAGGGACTGAGAGCAAGACTCTGCCTTCAGCTGCACAGCTCAGTGTCCCACCTTGGTCCAGAGGCACATAAGTCAAACACTCACAGTGACTGGCAGACAAGGAGACAGACTGACAGAGACACACATTGTATACATATAGACAGGCAGAGAAGAACAGAGACAGACAGGTGGCGTAGGTGTCATGGCGTCAGTGGACAGCACTGGTTCAAGTGTCTCTGGTCGACTGAGATCAGGGGATCTACTTCACGCTGGTCTGGCAGTTGCACTGCTGCTTGGTGAGTTACACTTATCTCTGTACCTTTAAGTGCCATGTCATTCCACTCTTTTCAAACATGTCTCTGGATGGGGCTATCCCTTTAATTGCCTATACATTTTAACTTGTTTCTGTGCCCTTTAGACCTTCTTCATTTGCTCCTTTTGCTCGCTTTTTCTTATTTATTATGTCTGAGTGGGTGGTACAGCCCTCTTACAGTAAATCAATACCTTTTTTTGGTTATTCTATATCTGCTATATCTACATCTGCTGCTCTGTCGCATCTGCTTCAGCGCTCATGTTTAATCATTATCTTTCCATACCCAAACACTACAATGTATGGTGCTGTCACAGGAGATGTTTAATTGTTAAACAATCAGGCCAACAATACAAACCTTTGACTTAGATCAGTTTCATGTTGTAGGGTTGCTGCTGGACTGTTTGAGTAACTGACACTTCGCACTTTGAAATTCTACTTTAAACATAGCCTTCATATAGGAGAAAATAAAACAAATAATTAACTTTTGGTTTTCAAAGTAAAGAAAAACAAGCTATAGTTTATCTACATGCATGCCTGTGTGAACATAGCATTACTGGTAATGACGTAGTGGTGCAGTGATGATCTGTGCTTTTGCTCGTACCCTCCCTGATTTTGTTGTAGTGCCCAATAGTGCCCCCACATCCAAAAATCCCCCCCTGGCTCTCAGTTGTTTGGAAAGTTGAGCACCATTGAGTTTTATGAAAGAAAAATGGGACTAGTATGTGTCCAGTATTGCAATATTAGTGTCGGCTTTAGATAACCGACAAGTAAGATTAGAATGCATCTTATCTTTCCGCTTTTTAAAATGTGTTTTAGATTAAAAAAAACAAAAAACAAACAGCACTTTGTTGTTTCAATTTTGTTTTGTTTTATTTTTTGGCAAATATTTGGGCTTTTTATGTTTTCCAACCAAACATCAGGGGTAAATATTAAAACAAATAACTTTAGTTCAATAACACATGTAATTTTGCATTTTGGTAAAGTTATTGACTAAATTATTCAAGAGTCCATGAGTCCAGGTTAGCGGCAGCACCAAGACCAAATCATCACTTGTCCCAGTAGGGTCAAATTTGGTCATAGCATATCACATACTGAAAACATGCGAACACACTTCTGACTAGCTAACACAATGCAACATTAGTTCACTTTAAAGGGATTAAACAATAGTTTAGTTCTTTTGAATAGATATGATAAATATATGTACCAGAAACTTTTAACAAAATATTCATTTAAGAAAGAGGAACAAATACAGGCAATATACATACTTCATTTACATCATAGTTCGCATACACAAAAAATAGTTGTAAAGCACAATTTTACAATTATTCATCTTATACATCTTATTCATATTCATTTGTTTCTTGTTGTATTTCATTGTCAGTACACATATTTCCAAATGAAATTGTTGAGTGTTGTGGAAAGTCATACTGCACCAAATAACACTTTCTTAGTAAAATATTTTCCCAAAAATCTTGCTAAAACAGCATTGATCTGGTTGTTTTGTCTAAATTACCAGCTAAGTTCAGTGGAATTTCTCTGAAATCATTTTCTCATAAGTACATATTCTCAGACTGAATCCCACTGTCCCAGCAGACATTAGATACACCAACAGATAAGTACAGGCAAGGCTAACACAAATAAGAAAGAAGCATAAACTGTATAACAAATTATATTTTTTATCAGCAAATTCTTAAAGGATAGCCACAGCATTATAGAGCATTAACAGTCTGACTCAAGTGGTGGTGCGAGATTGGTTTACATTAAGTACCTGTAAATTTAAATAAAATAAGTTCAAATATCTTTTAACCCATAAGAGCCCGACCCATTTCCACACTCAGGAAAATTATGGGAGCAGTAAATCAGCAACATCAAGTTCAATCAACAAAATAGATTATATAAGAGGTGTCACCGTAGGTTCTTAAACATTAAAATATGTAACTCAATATCCCCAAAATACCTTCATTTTCACAAATGAATAGATTATAACTTAAATTTTAACTTAACATCATGACTCAACAACAGCCCGACAGTCCATATTCCAAGTTAGAAGAACACTTAAATTTCAATTCAAGGTCTACACTTATGAATAAATACTCTCATTTGACTATATCCTCCTGAGAACTGAGGAAAGAATCTTCCCATTGAACTATTTTTGGGATTTCCTTCCTCTTTGGAGCTAAAAGAGAGCACCCAAATGCACAAGATATCAATGGAAAGCCCAGGATGTCCTCTATTTAGTACATTAGGACTTATTATGATAGCTCAAATAAGTCACAAGATAGAGACCAAAAACAAATGTCCATTACAATGGACATAAATGGATGGGCTGGTTCTCTGGAGGATATGGCTTTAGTTCCATGGGTGAGTTTTAGTCATTCCCGTCTTTGCAGTTCCTTGGTTTGACCTCTGATTACTATGTTCACTTACATCATTAAATTCTCACCTCTATTTAAGAGATCCGGTTCATCTGTTATGAAAATGTCCACCTTAAATGCATTTTATCATTGTTAACATCTTATATATTCAGGATATGGTTATTTATCTAAATTGTGTCTGTATTGGAATGCTCAACTGTTTCTCTTATGTAATCAAGTAATACCTAAATCAAGTAATGTGCAAAGTATTACAGCAATATGTCACAACAAAACCTTTTGGCAACAGAGAATGAAGAGAATGAAGGCAGTGAAGCAAAGGTCCCAATAAAAGTCAGGTGTGAAATTAAGGAAAAATGTTTAACAGTAGGTTGTTCTCATTAACATCTCCGGATCTATATGAAAGTGTCATTCAGTATTAACAGACAGAAGCTGTTATTGCAGCAGGACCACAGACAAAACTTGGAATAATGACTTTTTTTGCAGAATAAAGACAATCTTCAGATATCTGTAACTTTTCAGCATGGAAGATGCAAAAGGTTGGAACAACTGTCATGCCAACTACTTTCATTTTTTCCATTTTCATTCACGCAAAATTATTCATCATCCTTTTTTGTGACGAATAAACAAAAGATACAGTAAAAAGCAAAATGATAGAGTGATCATGGTGTAACATAGTAATCATGTTAACATTTCTCCAGTACTGTGCCTGAAAATGCAGTTACTGCAGCATTGTTTGTATGAATATCACATTGCATATATTACCTGAAGTGAAAAACTGAAACTATCTTGTCCCACAATACCAGCAGCTCTGCCTATTAAGTAACTCAGCTGCTGGTGTAATTCTTTGCCCATTCACCTTGAAAAGGACATCTCACATGCCTCACCTCTCTCATATCCATTCCCCTGTTCTTTCCTTGTGACCCCTTTCCATCACTTCCTACACATTGTAACTCCTGCATTACCTACGCTTCCTTGTTCATACCCCCCTCTCCCACATTTCCCATCACTTCCCTGTATATATTGCAGAATAGTGTCCTCAGTCAGTTCTCTATGGGTTCTCTTAGAAATACATTAACTTTTCAATTACTGGCCTACTTAAAAAAAGAAGAAGAAGAAAAAACAGTCACCTTGACAGTCAGGCAAGGACACACACACACATACATGCACACAGACACATATGCACATACATGCACACACTCAGTTGCTTTTCAGACCTTCAGTATTACTGATATGTACACAAACACTTAAAGTAAGTGCATATATACAGTTCACATACATGCACATGCACACACATACACAGACACACACGTCACATAAAAAGATAACAGTGCATACATTACATAAGTGAATTGTACACTACTTCAGGATGTGAATCTGTGGGCGGTTTCAGGACAAACTGTTTATACAAAAAAAGAGGATAGTGAAGAGAAAAGTGATGTACAAAACCATGATAGTAGAGAGCAGTAAGGCCAAGGAGGTGTCAAGTTTATTTCTAAGCATGAGGAGGGGGCACCATATAATCCATTTGGAAACGTTTTTGGAAATGGATAACATCTTTTTTTTTCTCCACTAGAGCATTTTGTTTCACAGACTATTCACTGAAAATGTGCAACTAATTACTGATAGAGATAAATGTTTTTTTTCATTGTTGCAATTACCAAAGAGTTTAAAAGATCGTTCAATGTTCAAAACCTCTAAGCCTCTTAAAGTAGAAAATACAAACACACACACACACACACACACACACAACCCCGTTCAGCTATTTTACTGAGGACCTTCATTGACATAATGCTTTCCCTAGCCCCTTACCCTAACCCTAACCATTAAAAATGAATGCCTAACCCAAACCCTTACCCTAAACCTAATCATAACCTAATTGTAAAACTGACACTAAAACCACATTTTGAGCCTCAAAAATACCTTTAAATGCCTTCAAATTTGTGAGGACCGGGTTGTGTGACCTCACAAGTGACTGTTGGTTCTCACTAGTATAACAGAATGCAGATTTCGGTCCTCACAAAGATAGCTAGACAGGAACACACACACACACACATATGTTTCCATGTTCTTATTTAGGGATTGTCTCCCCCAGGAGCAACTTCTGAAAGCAACTAAGACAGAAAGATTGAGGGATAAAAGGAGTGAAAGCAGAATTGTCCAGACTGTCCAGTGCTATAAAAAAGTAAGTCAGGCTATTAAAACAGAGCAAAAGTGGAATCAGAAAACAAACAAGTTCAAAACTAAAAATGCTTGAGCTGAAAGTGGATGAGTCAGCATAACTGAAGAGTTAAATACCAGGTGCTACAAAAAAAATCAAGAAGAGCGGTTAGGACAAAAGCATATAGATGACCAAAAAAGCAAAGCCAAACAAACTGATGCTTCCTTGATGTATAAATATTTATTTGTAAGGTAGTGCACATATTTATTATAACCAATATGTGACTTGCAGAAGGAACTCTTTTAGTTAATTTCATCTGAAAAAATAAATAAATAAATAAAATACAGACAGAGGTTTGTGTCTGTGAAGGTTCTCAGTCATCCAGGTCATCGTAGTCAAAGGAGCTTGCAAAGAAAAGCGTCTGGACTTCTTTAAGTTGCTTGAAGACGTTTCACCTCTCATCCGAGAAGCTTCTTCAGTTCTAAGGTCAAATGGTGGAGAGTCCCAGATATAAACCTAGTGGGAGTATCCCCCCACAGAGGGACAAAAAGACCCCCTGATGATCCTCTAATCACCTGAGCCAAGGTGTGAAACTGGGTGTGGGTCCCAATCAGCCAGAGTTTCGGGTGTGTTCATTGTGAAACCTGGCCCCACCTTATCATGCGAATTCCTGAGGTCAGATGGCCCAGGATGTGAGTGGGCGTTAAGGCATCTGGGAAGGGATCTCAAAACTGGATTATAGATGGCAGAGAGTTGGTGTCATAAATCCCCGCCTCTGTTCAAAGATGGTCGCTCACAGTGGACATAGATGGCTTCTTTCACTCCTCTTTCAAACCAAAGAGGAGTGAGTGAAAGAGGAGTGAAAGAAGCCATCTATGTCCACTGTGAGCGACCATCTTTGAACAGGGTTTACGACACCAACTCTCTGCCATCTATAATCCAGTTTTGAGATCCCTTCCCAGATGCCTTAACGCCCACTCACATCCTGGGCCATCTGACCTCAGGAATTCGCATGATAAGGTGGGGCCAGGTTTCACAATGAACACACCCGAAACTCTGGCTGATTGGGACCCACACCCAGTTTCACACCTTGGCTCAGGCGATTAGAGGATCATCAGGGGGTCCTTTTGTCCCTCTGTGGGGGGTTACTCCCACTAGGTTTATATCTGGGACTCTCCACCATTTGACCTTAGAACTGAAGAAGCTTCTCGGATGAGAGGTGAAACGTCTTCAAGCAACTTAAAGAAGTCCAGACGCTTTTCTTTGCAAGCTCTTTTGACCACAGACAGAGGTTTATTTTTGTCTATGTATTTGCACTACTGGAACCCAATACTCTTCAGTGGGAGTTCCACCCACACTTACAATCCCTTGCTTGTATCATTAACCCTAAACGCTTACTTCAGCAATATCTTTCTTTTTATTTATATCATTTTACAAAAGCAGCTGATAAAAAAACAGAAAGAATGACAATTCAAATACTGAGTGTTTTTCCCAGTACGAATTAAAAGTTTCAGCTCCAGTAAGTCTTACTTGAAACAATCTTCTTACAACACTATTACTTTTTTTCTGAAAATGTTTTATTAGTTCTAGCCATACACAGCAAATCACCATTAATATACTTAATATAATACAAAATAAGTTGTGCTGTCTGTTGAATGAGTTCTATCCAAGTAACTTTTTCTATATATATTAAGAAAAGGTTATTTCACATTAATTGTATTTTTTTGTTTCATTAACCAGCCCCAGTGCCAGTGTTGTGATGATAACAATACAGCTGAAAAACAACTTTGTATCAATATTTCTGCTGTTGAATTTTTTTCCTCCAAATCACATTAATACCTTTTCTGATTTCTTTAACATTTGAATTGAAAAATGGTAAATGACAATGTGTGCCTAGAACACGTGATTTCAAGTAGTAAAATGATTTCATCCATATCCAGTAATATGAGGACTCAAGTGTTTGAGATTCTTGTGCTAACGCAGATTTATTCAAAGCATTCCAGAGCAGGTGATGCAAAATTCTTTTAAGCAAGTATACATACATGTCTATGTCTATGTGCCTCAGCAGAGGCATACATGTACTCTAACCTTGTCTGTACCTTGTCCAAGTGAAATGTGATCCTGAGCAGGTCAATGGGGAAGAGAGTATTTATAAATAGACCCCAAGTGTGTGAGAGAGAAACCAGAGCAACAATCTGAGAATTACACCAGCTGTCATTGCAAAACCCACATAACATGCCTGGCCATGTGAATTTAAGTCGCATGACTCTTATACTCTATTCATAAATTGGATTAGTTGGGTCTTGAAAAAATCAAAGGTTTTGATTGCTTAATTAGTTTGACCTGATGAACTAGAGAACAAATCTTTTCTCTTTAGAAATGGTACCAAAATTCTATGTTTCTTTTTTTTTTTTTTACATGTTTTTTTTTTACATTAAGACCAATAGAAGAGAGAGGTTTTACATAGAGGACATCATACAGTATAAATGTCATTTGGTAAAATTGTCAGTTGCTTCTGCAAAGTTGCATTTAGAACCTAACTTAATTTTTCAAAGCCTAAAGTTCGCCATAAAGTCCATAAAGTACACAAAAAAAGTAATCAGGGAGCATCTGGTCATTTTTTTCCCTGTGACAGCAATTTTAAATATATTAGGTTTAGACTCCATATTAAGATTTTTATTCACAATTTAATTTTAAAAGAAGAGAGACAGAATAGTGTTGCCTACTTGGCCACATTCTACTTTTACTTAAGTTAAATCATAATGAATTCATACATAATTAAGTCTCAATAAACTGATGCCACAACAAATAGGGGAGACCGGGGATAGTTGTAACGTGGGTCAGTTGTAACACTTCCAATTTCTCCAATCAGGGCTAAGTTTCAAATGATGTGACTCATCCTGTGCATGCCCAACTCAGTTGTGCTATCACATGTGAAAAATCAGCACATTTTGTCAAACACAAACAATTTAACACGAAAAAAAGTAATTTGTATGCCAAAAAGTACGTTTTTCTACTTTATTTCAATTTCTAATAGCATTATCTGCTTTGCAGTTAAACTCATCAAACTTAAATTATGTTATTTGTATGTCTATGGGGATATATTCTGTGTAAGTCTTTAATGCTAATGTTTTAGCCGTTGGCTGTAATATTAGCTAGTTCATGGCTATAGGAGTCTGGGTCAGTTGTAACAGCAACAGTCTGGGTCAGTTGTAACAATAACGCAGATGTTACAACTTACCACACTATTACTTTAACTTATATTAAACAAGTTGGGGCAACGACATCAGCAGAGAGAGGTTCACTGGTCGC